TCGAAATTGTATTATTATTATTACTTTTTTTTTTTTTTTTTAGCGTTTGTTACATTAACTTTCGCGTGCATAATAGACATAAGTTAAACTGCCCGGAAACGAGATCGTATTGAAATCCTAAACGGTCCCGGTATGAAACTGCAGTTCGCTGGCCGTTTCACCAAAAAAACCGTCACGTAAACACGTATATATAATAGAGTTATATGTTAATGTCCGTTGAATCGTAAAAAAACAACGATATCGCAAAGTCGGGGCTTTTTTTTTATATTTTTTTCTTCCACCGCGTGTCCACCGCCCCTTCCCTTTAAAAAAAGAACACCGCGAGCACATAGACCCGTCCTTAAATTTACTTAATCCTCGACTTTTGGACTTTTCCCGGTTATCGTCAGTCACCGGTGTCTCGGTATATTCCCTACACACAATGTGATCGTGATAATTCGTGTTCGTCAAAGCGACAAATCGACTAGGTCGTTGCTTTTGTACGTCTACGATTTACAGTATTTTTTCTTTTGTGAGAAAAAAAAACACAACAAAGACCACGCCATGGAAAAACGCATCTTGTCCGTCTCCCCGTAACTACCGATTCAATACAGTATATACAAACAATATATGTAAAAAGGTCGTCATACCTAGTCTGTTTATCTTATGTTTATCTAGCGTGTTCAAACATTTGGATTTTTAATTAATTGATAAGTGTGTGTGTGTGTGTGTGTGTGTGTGTGTATTTGTGTGAGTGTACGTGTGTTTACGTGTATTACAATTTTGTATAATTAAAAAACCCTTGTATTTTTTTAACAAGTTTGTTATCCAGAAAAAAAAAACAAGCTTTCAAACCGTTTGTAAATATAACATCGCTCGTGTGAATACTTTTTTACGTTTTCAAAAATATTTTTCAAACTAATTTTTTGCTCAATTATTGTTTTCCGAAATAAATGTTCTTGTTCATCTATCGTATTGAGATAATTATATAAATAACGCGTAAAACCGGTCAAAGTCGTACTGCGAGTACCTATTGTACATTCTGCAGCATCCGTTATAAATAGAGGAAAATAGTTGCTAGTTATGCTTGTCAAATATTCTACAACCTTTTCTTTTTCTTTCTTTTTTTTTTTTTTGAAAATCAAATTTATATCAAAGACGCGACGGCCCCCTTCTCCCAAAGGACGGCCTCGTTCAATATGTCTACTTGTGCAATGAAAAACTCGCGAACAGAAAAATAGAGGGGAAAAATTCATAACTTCTCAATTATATAAACCTATACGTTTTATATTCTACAAAAATATAATAATAAATTGCATTTATTCAGACACTTGGAGTATGGGCTCGATTGATGTTTCGACGGGAAAAAAATGGATTCGCACTTCTTCATATTTTTTTTATCTGTACACACTCGGCCCTCGTCAGTTCTGGTCGAAACATCTCGCCCCGCGTGTTTTCTCGGCCGAACGTTGCGGCCGATTTTACTTTCAGGTATAATCGATTCACACGACATTCCAATATTACATTTCGTTTGTTCTTGCACGTATCGATTTCTTTTTTTTTTTTTACGAAAAACTTCAAACGGATTGCTGCGATATAGGTGTCCATAATTCGTTTTTAATATCCCTATCGAACGAATATCGGTACCTCTATTCGTTAATCGATGATGTTTTATTCTATTATTATTATTAATATTGTGTTATAATATATATATATATATACATATATATCGAAATTTTTTTTTTTTTTAACAATTATCACATAAAATACTCGGGACGTCGTTTCACGTTTTTTTACGGGATGCAAAACTAATAGTGACTATTAATTTCGATATCAAAGACTAATCATGTGCAATTAAAACTTTTGAAATCCGAAATCGGAATTCTTGCGATTCGAAATCCTGAATCCGGATTTGCTGTTAAATATCCACGGGGATGGTGTCTAAAATATTACGATAAAAACTGCATAGTGGCATTTTAGTCAAATTACGAAATGATTGTTGCGTACTATAAATTCTGTGAAACTGTATTTCTACTATATCTGCGATATACATTTTGAGTGCGCTAAACAATGTTCGCGGGGCGCATTCGTATGCCCGTGCATCCCGCAAATGACGCCACTGCAGTGCAATATACACTACGATTGTTTCACTAGAAATTGCACCTCGAATTCCGTACGCGTTAATTATCGCGCATGTTCGTCGCACAGTTTAGACGGCAGCATTAATAATCGATTCACGTTTAAAGTTTCAAACAAATATATACCCGGAGAAACGTAATTACGTCCATAAATTAGTGTTTTCGTGACCCGCGATCGGCACGTATCGGTCCGCTTAAAAGTCAAAACAAAATTAATATTGTTTATCTTACCCCCGAGGAAAATATATAAATATGTACAGCTAATGCTACTCGATTAACCTTAAACAGTTTTCAATATTCCTATTGGTTTCGTTCGTTTCTCGCAAAAATATCGGCCGTTTCTGAATCCAATACCATTTATTATAATAGGTTCGTCAATACAAAATGTTTATTTCATTTTAATATTTAATATTACTATAATACATACGAGTATAGGAAATTGTAATTTTCGCGGTTTTTCTGTTGTAAATAAAATAAAAAATAAATCAATCCATTTTTTTTTTTTTTTATATATATATATATATATTAAAACTTATTTTAAAATTTATTTACTCGAATAGATTTTCGAAATTTAGACATAATAGTATATAAACACTCCAGGGTTATATATTTATCGTTCTCGGCTCTCGCGTTTATAAATTATATCATACAATTTACTAAATATTTTAATAATACTTAATAATTATACTTTATTGATTGATTACAAATCTTCCATTATTTGTGTGTAAGTATAATATATTCATATTATATTATATTACGTTACGTTGTTATTATTGCCTACTGTTAAGTACCTATATTATTATGTTATTACTGTTGTATTACATGTTTTTGTTTTTTTTTTTTTTTTCGTTTTTAATGTTCCTCGTCGGTCTTTATTATAACATATACTATTATAGAAACGTACATTTAGCAGCTGTTTATAATATTTAATTCCTTGTATATATATATAATATTTATAATTTATAATATTATGTATTCATTAAACGATACATAATATATAATATTATAAAAGGTATCTTATTAAATTTATTTATATCATTTTTTTTCCTGAAGTATCATTTTAACGTGTAATAAAATTTAACTTTTTTATTCCTTTTGTATACTATTACGTATATATAATTTATATATTTTGTTGTATTTCTTGTGTAAAAATATAATCGGTCGATGTTCTATATAAATAATATTATAATATAAATATCCTTCGCCGTATCTATAAATTGTCGTCCGGTGGTTATTGCGTGAAGTACGGAGGGGAATTAAAGTTTCCTCGCTTATTTAAGGTTAAATTAGCCATCCCATTTCATTTTAGTCTTCGAGAAACTTGTAGAAACGATTTAGTAAGTAGTTGTCACTAAAGTGTGTTGAAATTATCTACATATTTGTTTTAAATATTATTGAATTAACAAGATGCCCTGCAAACATATTTAAACGTTTTTTTTTTTTATTTTTGTCTATAAGGAAAATATTATAAAATTACGAAAATTAACTATAATACACATCATACACATCGGGTTTGATGTCTGGGGAAAAAAAACATACTATATATTATAATATTTCACGTATATACGGCGTAATATTATTTTCGACTCGTCAGCGTAGTTTTCGTACACAATATTACTATAAATGTAAAAGTCGTGAAATCGAATCGTTTTCCGAGCGTTCTCGTACACATTCGTGTGGGCTGTACGGAAACCGTAAGCTTTATTCCATATCGAGGAAATAAAAATCAATATAATATATTATATTCCCGTAATTTGTAGCGTACAGAGAAAAAATCACAAATAAATAATGACGTATACATTTAGGTAACTACATGTATATATTGACAACCTTTTCGGTTGAAATTCCGATCAAAAAATATTACGAGCTAAAACCCCTATGATATTATATAATGATGTACATTCATTTGAATTGAAAAACGACAGCATTTCGAAGTATACATTTGTATGGTAAATCTTTTCTAAATGCTTTATTATTATTATTTTTTTTTGTGCATACCGAAACAAGTTTTAAATTAAAATATATACATATAGTTTATCACTTTTTAGACAGGTAACTCCTTGAAGAAGAAAAAATGCCCGCGTATAAATATTATGATTATATCTACAGTTAAACTTTTCCATTAAATTACTTCACTTGGAAAAAAAACCACCGATGTAATAATATATTATATTTGTTTTATATAACACTCAAAAAAGGTATACACGTTAGACTATTATAATATAGAAACACGTGAATGTAAATACGTACCATAAGCGTACAGGATCTGTTTGCCTCGCGTTTGTTCCTAAACAAATAATATTATAATAAATGTATTTGCGTGTTTCGTAGCGAAAGATGTAAAACTTGTAAACAATTCGAATGTATCGTCCGTAGCCGAGAGAAAAGAAACAGTTGTTGCGCTCGCCATTGATTTTACGCGATTATCATCATCATCATGTATAGCCTCACAACTCTATAAGAGTTTTGGCTGCCACTGTCACCGACCTCCAATAATCACGATCCTGGATCCTATCCTCCCAATCCGTTATTTCTAGTCTCTCTGGATCTTGACGCACTCCATCTATCCATCGTTTCTTGGGTCTGCCTCTTAGATTTTCTTCCCGCTGGCCAATTGACGCCCTAACTTAATTTGTCTATTTTCTTCTCAATGTGTGTCCAAACCACTGGATTCTCTGACCCTTCACGTAACTTGCTAGGTTAGGTACCTTAATACTTTGATGATTTCCCTTATTTCCGTTTTCTTCTTTCTGCGCCATATATGTAATGCTGTATCTAACACTGGTCCACAAATTGTTCAAATTGCACTTTATTCTCGAAGCTTCTTAGCTTTTGATCAGTTTATACTGTCATTGGCCATACTTCATAACCGTAAGTTAATGTTGGTCTCACAAATACTCATGTACAACGGGATTACGGAATTATAATAAAAAGAAAAACATAGTTTTTACACTGTCCGTCCATCCCTATACAGATACAAACAGCTGGTAAAAACTTAAAAATAAAACAAAAAAATAACTAATTCTACTGATAGGTTCGCCACTGTTGTAAGTGGAAAATTGGGAAATTCCAGGATTTTTACAATCATTTTTACCCGAATTACAACCCAATTTTTTTCCTATGTTTTTTTTTACGTTTTTCCCAATTCTAAGAAACCTACATAAAAAATCAAACACTGACTTTCTAAAGCTCCATCTATAAACAAAATTGTCTTTCAAAAAAGAGATTTTGATATTTGAATTTTAGAATTTGAAATTTGAAACAAGATTTCTGGTGGAAAGCGAAAATTGATAAAACTAAAAATAATGAAACCGTTAATGCCGTTAATTTAATATTTTTCTGATTCCCTATATGTACTTTTTTTCCAGTTTTTCCCAATTATTATGAAAACTACTCGAAAAATCAAAAATGGCCTCTTTGTACCACAAACAAGATCCAAAATGCAACAAAAACGGTCTCGTGTCGGTTTTCAATCGGAGCATGTTTTCCGGTAGAAAATCGTTTACAAATTACAAAAATAAAAAAAATAAACCTATGACCACACATTGCAGTAAAACGGTTTTACTATAGAACCAATACGCGTTGGTCGACCAACTCGGACTATGTAAAAAATACGTAAAACGTACGGCTTATATTATAGCCATGCCGTAAAAAGCCTTACGTCCGTGTTTTAAACGGTCACGCCCGCGCGTTTGCTGCAGTTAATATTATTTCTAAATTGTATTAAATATTTTACGACTCCGGTTTAACGCGTTCGGTTTAGCGCCTGCGCCTAGAGACGAACAATATTACTTTTATCAATTGACAGAACGTTCCGCGAAAATAAAAAAATCTATCTTAAATTTTTCCAAATTTAAGCATCGCGCGTAGAACAAATTCAGGCGTGTAGAAGTAGAGGTAAACGTATAAGCCGTGGTAAATAAAAATATTAAAAATGTCGAATTTTCAGACGAAATGCACTTTATTTACGCAGCCATAAATCGACAAATGTCGAAATAGTACCCAGCTGATGGGGTTAGGGCTATTTTCTGTTACCGAGAATTGAATTCGAGGGCCTTTAAATGAAAAATCGCCTCAGAAAAAATATGATTAACAAAAAAGTGACTCGTTTCAAATATTTAAAAAAATGTTAGGATTTAATAGATCCTAATTTTTTTTTGGCCCTAGCTCTTCTACTATTTGCTTTTCAAACCTAAAAAGACGTCCTCGGATAATGGGGACGGGTGCAGCCACTGTTATAGGTAATTAAATGTATACCTGTAAGCAACGATATAAATCATTTCTTACGAAAAAATGATTCTGAGCAGAGTTCAGTTGATAGTGATGCTTTGTCAACAATATATATGCCATATTATAGTAAATTAATTAAATAATCTCTATATATATATTTTTTAATAATATTTGTTTAATGTTGTACTAATTTTCCCTATTTTCCCAATTTTTCACATTTGCTTACAAAACTCCAGAGGAAATGTAAATTCGACCTCTTTAAAATACCTCCCTAGTGAAATTTCCTTTTCAAAACATTGCTGTTTTTAATAGTTGAAATAAAATTGCTGATAGAAAAGTTGTCCACAGAAAAAAAAATCGTAATATTATATTTATTTATATTTCGTAAATTTTCCCGTTTTTTTTCGGTTTTGGTGAAAAAACTCTTGAGAAAATCAAAAAATTACCTCTTTAAGGTACTTTCCCACATTGATTTCCTTTCAAAATAATTGCTACACGTACAAATCGGAGCAAGTATTTTGGTAGAAAAGTTGTACACGGAAAAAATAAATAAATAAACATCTTTGTAAAACATCCTTCGCTTTACTCAGAATCTAAAAAGGTCCAGAGTCCAAGAAGAGTAATTAAAATATTAAATACCAACACCGGGGAAATCGCGATTTCCTGATAGGCTTTCTGTCACTATCAGTACCTATTTATTTGAAAAGACATGTTGCGTATATTTAACTGTCGTTCAATAAACATACACTAAATTGAACAGGCGAGATCTTGAATAAATGTAAGTTTCAGAATGTAAGCGATACATGTTTGAATCGATGTTAAATTTAAAATATTAAAATAATATTATTTTCTACTGCGAGTCCATTTCGGGAAAAAAAAACAATCTCGAATGATTAGAAATGATGATTCGTGTCAACAACGATTATAAAATAATATTCTTGTAATGTATAGAACAATAATTGCAAACTTCAAACTGTTGTCGACATGTTTAGTTCGTATCGAATATATTACGGTAAGAACATCTCGAATCAAATCAAATTTGAAGAAAAAAAACGCCCTTTACAATATTAACGCAGTCGTCGACTGTTCAAACTTTTGTTGGCTTCTCCGCAAAACCACTGCGTAGATACAAATCCAGAAGGTGTAATTTCTTATGTACCCGTATCATATCGATTTTATTAGCTATTTGAACACAACACGAAAACTGAGTTAATTAATTTCCGCTGGAAATAAACATTAACTTTTCAAATATTTCGAAAACGTATGTATATTGTGTAACATGATATACAAAGTCAGTTGTCGTTCGCCACAGGAAGTATTCTCCCGCCACTTACGTATCTCGTATTATTTTAAAAATAAAAATAAATGGCAAATACGTATGAAATTATTTTATTGGACGGTCGGATACTTTCGCAACAATGGGTATTTGGTGTCATAAGCTGCAGTGAAAACATTGGGTGATTTGTCTTGTGTGTGCCCCATCGATCGGAAAATACCTTATTGCCAGTAATTAGTGAACGTACACGAGTCGGATCGACGTGATATCCGATTTCTCGCGAGCCTATAATATTCAACAAACCGGCAGTTTTAATCACTCAACAGTAAACCACAAATACAAATTGGTTGTTTGTAGATCCTATATAGGTTAGGTCACACACAGGATGTTAAGAGGATGTATGGAAGT